AAAATATATTTTATTGATTTTTTACAGAGAGGAAGGGAGAGGGATAGAGAGCTAGAAACATCCATGAGAGAGAAACATGGATCAGCTGCCTCCTGCACACCCCTACTGGGGATGTGCCCGCAGCCAAGGTACATGCCCTTGACCGGAATCGAACCTGGGACTCTTCAGTCCATAGGCCGACGCTCTAGCCACTGAGCCAAACTGGTCAGGGCACATTTTTTTTTTTTTAATGTAGATCAGTGGTTCTTAACTTTTTGTATGTGACTGATACATTTGATGAATCCACATGATAAATTTATAGGACTCTCTCAGCAGGACAATGTACTCTCTTCATCATGCAATTGCATTTGATGTCTGTAAGAACAGGGCACTTTCCAAGTGTGCTGATTAAAGTATATATGTGTGTAGAAAGTAATCATAATGGAGTTTCTCATTGCAGATCGACTGTATATTCTTTTGAATTGAAGAATAAATGACAAAGTGTCCCTCTTCCCCAATAGCTCAGCATCAATCTACAGAGGGAGAAAGTAGATTAGTAGTGTTTTAGGGCTGGGCATGGGTAAGAGTTTAAGGACGTGATGGCTTAAAGGGCACGGGATTTTTTGTTCTTTTTTTTTTTTTTTTTGAGGTGAAGAAAATATTCTAAAATTGACTTTATTTATGTTTATACATATCTGTGAACATACAGAAAACTAATAACCAATGAATTATGTACTTTAAATAGGAGACTTGTGTGGTATGGGAATTGTATCTCAAGAGAGTTATTAAAAAATAAGTTAGCATCATCCTCATTTATTCACTGAACCATTTTATCCTTTCTGAGACAAAGTAGTTGACGCCACACATGCTAATTCTATTTTATGACACTGTTTATGGTTTATATTATGCAGCAAGCCAAGCAAAATAAGAATGACCCAAACATCAAAACAAATCTCAAAACAAACTCTATATCTGAGTGATTATGTTTTTTGTTTATCAGAAATCACATATATATAGATATGTAACTTTCTATGTCACTATTTAAAACTGCTTTTTTTCCTTTTTCAATTGAATTATTAGTCATTGTATAATTTGGAAACATTTCAAAAAATATAACATTTCAGGTACTAATGTGTGTAATAGTCTCATGCTGATTTCAAAATAATAAAGGTCTTATACAATCTGTCTCACTTAGAATTCAAATTTAGCAATATATTAAAAGAGTAACATGCTTACACAAAGAAGTTCATATCAGGAATGGTTTAATATTAGATATGCTAATATAATTGCTAATATGACTGTTAATATGATAAACAGATCATCTGATAATACTGAAAAGGTATTTTTAAGATTCAAAATTATGCAATAGTATAATTCTTTGTGGCTCAAAACACTTATTTTTATAGATATAAAATATTGATCATTTTTTCTTCTTAGTAGTCAAGATTGTGTACTGTGATAGTCATTTTATACACACCCACACCCACATCCAAACCTATTCCCTGTCACACACAGATTTTAAGTTTTTTTTGTTGTTGTTTTTTGTTGGTTTTTTGTGTGTTTTTTTTAGTCAAAGGGTATACTAAGCATGTGTGCCTTCCAGATCTCCTAACCAAGCTCTCATGGAAATAAATGGCAGGGGTTGGGAGGACAATCCAAAAAGAGAAACTCTACAAAGTATCATCTATAGGCTAGAAATTTCAAATAATTTCTTTGAACGTAGAAAATAGATGGAATCAGAATAATGACTGAACCCAAGAATAAAAAGTATATTACGCATGGTAGGGTTATTGTCAAAGTAGGAGACATTCTTCCAAGTGGAATATAGGAACACTTAAAATTCAGAGTCAAACCAATACAATGAGCAGGAATGGGCCTAGGATAAATCATAAGGGAAATTATTTAGAGGTTTGCATTCTAAAACCTTTGGTCAGCCAGCTGCTTATCCAATTCCTTTGGCCAACCTTACCATCTAAATAAAGAGAAAATAGCATGATGGAAGTGCTCTGGTACTGCTTTTTGAACACAGTGATTCATCTGCCCCATCCACTTCAAAGAGCCTGTACTCACTTGTTAGTTTAGACAATTTGAACTTAGAATTTGGACAACCTGTTGGGCCTACCCAAGATGGAGATGGAAAATATGAATGTTGAAAAACATAGATAATTGAAGTAGAGTTTTGGTTGTATCTATTAGCTATTTTTAAAAAAGGACAGTCACAATGGAGGGGACTTTAATAATTAAAGAAATAAAAGAAGGAAATTTCCCTGCAGTGAAGAAATACTATATTATAAAAGTTGAAAGAATGCATCTTGTATCAAGCATGGTAAATGACAGCAGGCAATTTTTTTTTACATCTCAAATTTTATATTTTAATTTGAGGGCAAGAGAAAAGCATTTTCTTACATATCAGGATTCAAAGTTTACATGGAACCTATCCTATCTTATTGGTATTCTACAATAAGGAATGTAAAATGAAAAAGAAATCCAAAATATAAGATGAGATAGGATTAAATATAATATGTTAAAAAGAGAGTAAAACTCATGGAAAAATCTAAATAACTGATTATTTGTTTGCAAAGTTTAATGCTGTTAAGAATCCATACAAAAGGAGAGGCTTAATGTTTAAAAAGTTTCAGTGAAAACTCCAGATTATTTCAAGTAAACTAGTGGACAGAAAGTATATAACTTATTAATAACCACTATAAGATAATGTAAAAATAATTGATCCAATGAAAAACATGAAAGGCAACAAACAAACAAATGAAATAATTATAAATAGAAAGCTTAAAATGGCTGGAATAGGTCCAAATATGTCAGTAATCATGGGAAATGTCAAGGTTAGAAAGTTTTATAGTTTGGTTAATAAGAGATATTCATACATAATTAAGATTACCTACAAAGTTTGAAAATGAAGAAAGAAGCAGAAATAGCAATATTCTACAAGGCAAATAAAAATGAAGTTGAAGACCATTAAGTGGGGGAGGAGAGGCATGTTTTGTATTAATATCAGTTTTAACCCACCAAAAAGACAGTAGCTTATTTGCAGTAGACAAGCAAGCATAAATAGGTATAAAAACAAAAACTGTTAGTAATAAGAATTGAAACTAATGAACTGCCCCATTGTGGGAAAATTTAGCACACATCTTTCAGGAACCGAGATATCAAGTACAGAGAAAATAACCAAACTAGAATTCCCAAAATTTGAATACCAAAATCACTGAACTTTTATTTATTTATTATTTTAAATATGTTTTTATTGATTTTGAGAGAGAGAGAGAGAAAGAGAGGGAGAGAGAGATAGAAACATTGATGAGAAACATCAACATCTATCAGCTGCCTCCTACATGCCCCCTACTGGGGATAGAGCCAGCAACTAGGGCATGTGCTCTGACTGGGAATCAAACCATGACCTCTTGGTTCCTGGTTCGATGCTCAACCACTGAGCAACACCAACCAGGCTGAATTTTTAAAACAGTGATATGTACATCTTTGTATCCTGCTCAGCTCTCAAATCTCATGTTACCTTAAATCTGGTGTTGGACCCTTTCTTGGGATCCTTCACCAGGTGAAGCAGTAAACAATTAAATTACAATTTAGTTTTATTTTTAATGATTAAGATGTTTTCCTAATTGTCTTTTATTTCCTTTAGTCTTACTGCTCTGATCCAAACCTCGTGTTAGATTTGAAGAACCTCATTGTGCTTTTTGCTGATACACTTCAGGTTTGTGACTTCTGTTTATCTAGATTAGTATTTCCATCAGCTATAAATCTTTTCACTGGCTGCCTAAATTTGAATAAGTACCTTTCAGTTTTTAGTTGTGTTTCTTCTTTTCCTAGTGTTAGATTTTTTAATCTTTCCATAGCATTTCCTGGTCCATCACCTTGACCATTTATGTTTTCATAAATAGTTCCCATCCCTCTCTTTTTCCCCTTGGAGCAAATCAATTAATTGAAGCAGCTACTACCTTAGTTTTCCAAAATTTTCTTAATTCAGATATAGTACCCGAGTGACTTTAGAGGTTTTTAGCTATCATCTTGGATAATAATTATTGATTTGAACCACATATTATATTAATAAAATAGCATTAGAAGTGGGTGAGATTTGTAGCATTTTCAGTTTCTCTCCCTATTTCTTGTTACAGGCAGAGTTGTAGGGAGAACTTAGCTGATGTTATAACCCGTATACAATATATTAATTTTAATATTCATTTTTTAATTTTTTTCTGACTGACAAATAATTTGGTATGTACCTTTTAATTTGTGAGAGATAAATACTAAATATTAGGTGAGAATGAAAGACTCTTTATCATGGTTACATTTAAATTGTTGGCTAAAGGAACAAAGATA